TGGTGTTCCCTCTGCCCACGGTGGGTGGGGGGAGGCTCTGAGTGGGCCAGCCGTGGGCTTGTGCATCAGCCCCTGGCGGGGTGGGGGGGTCCTTTGCTCTGGGGGCCTGGACTCCCTTTTGCTTGTCTGTCTTGGTGGAGGGAGACTTCTGACGTGAGACGAGGTGCTTGGGACAGGTAAAGACACGCGAGGATCCTCCGTTCTTCCAGACAAGCCGCACCTGTTACCATTCCTCCAGCCCCCGCCCCCGCCGCCCCGAAGGAACCCGGTGAAACTGCGGGCCCTGGCTGGCGGCAGGTGCCCGTCCCCAGGTAGCTCACCCGTCTGCAAGCGGGCCGTTTCCTGAGGGGGCTGCGGCAGACACACCTGAGCACCCGCCTCTCCGCACATGGTTTGCAGTCGAGGCCGAGGCCCACGCTGGACCAGAGGGCGGGCGGGCTCCCCTGCGTCCGGCAGACGCCTGGCGGAGACTGTGCCCACGGGGCTGGTGACCAGGGTGGGCCTGGGAGGGAGCCTGGCAGCCCTGCACCCACACCTCCACTATTCTAGAACCTTGGGAGGGAGCTCTTGGGACAACCACGGACCGGAGCCATGTGGTAAAATGAGCTAAAAATGTGTATTCTTCTCCGTCCTTTGGCTGCTGGGAGCACGCTCTGGTTTTCAACAGCTAGACCTTCCAGGAAAGAAACCTTCCAACCAGCGCTGCCCAGGTGGGGTCCCAGGGAGCCGGCCCCGAGCCACACGGGAAGGGTAGGGTCCCTGCCGCACAGCGGAGCATGTCCCGGGCCCCTGAACTCGAGATGGAATCGGCAGCCCTGGCTGGTGCCCCGAGGGCTGGCCCTGCCCCGGGGCGGGGGCACCTTGCGGAGTGCCAGCGGTCGGCGTCTATACCTGGAGCTTGCCCCCGGCTGCGGGAGGAAATACCCTCTCAGCGGCAGCAGCAGACTCTAGGCTCCTGATGACCCCGAGTCACCTCCTCAGGCACGTCCCGCCCTCGGCGGCGGCGCATGTGTTGCAGAAACTGTGAGGGCAAACGGGTTCGCGCCGACAAAGACGGGTCCCCCACGAGCCCGTCAGCCCGTGTGCCGAGGCGCCGCTCTCGGCGACGCTGCTCCCCCTTCTGCCGGCGGGCCCCCAGCCCGGGACGAGCCCCCACAGCGGCCTCGGGGACCAGGGCCTGCCACGGTGAGCTGGGACCCCCTCACTCTCCCGGGCGTGTGAGGGCAAACAGCGCCCCGAGAGCGGGGGTGCAGGGGAGAGGCGGACAGCGAGAGGCAGAGGGAGGTTGAACGAGAACGTTCTGCACACGACAGAGACGGCGGTGGCCTGGAGGGGACGCTGCTCCAGGGAGGCAGCGGGAGGGAAGGGGCCGGGCCACCGGAGCACTGCTCGAACCCAGGGGGGAAGGCCTCCGCGGAGGCCTCCGCGGGGGAGGGGCCGCGGCCGGCCAGGACGACGACGCAGGTGCATGCAGTGCGGGCTGGGCAGGCGGCACCCGGGGCTGCAGGCAGGCAGGTGCCCGAGGGGGAGAGGCCGTTCATGCGGCTGGCGGGGCGGGGAGGGGGCGCAGGTAGTTTCCAGATGGTTTCCCCCTTCCCTTATTTAAAAATAAAGAACTCCTCGCCCCGTGTCGGCTGCCCAGCAGGCTCCGTGTGTCTCTGCAGCAGAGGACCGAGCCGGGGGGTGTGCAGGGAGGTCGGCACAGACGGACAGCTGCCCGGAACCCGCAGGCAGGGCAGGGGCCCGCGCCCCCACCGCTGCCGCGACCTGTCGGTTTCCAGCCCGGCACTGGGGTGGCCCCCTGCACACTCCCCCAGACTGTTTGCCAACTGCCCCCGCTGCCGAGACCCCCCGGGCGCCTCTGAGTGGGACGGGAGCCCCCTTCCTGTGCACGCTCCTCCCCTCCTGACTGCGAAAGCGCCGGGTCACGCTGCGTGCCCAGGCCTCGAGGGGTACATCCGCCCTCATCCCTGCCCCCAGGGGCACCCCTGCAACTCCGACCCATCACGGGGCAGTGGGGCCCCCGGTTGTGGCGGCGTGGGGGGGGGGGTGTCAGAGGAGGCTACAGGGCCCGGCCGGCCAGGACCCAGCACTGAGGGCGCGTTTGCCCCGCCACGGCCGTCCCAGGTCACCCCAGACACCAGAGGTCCACAGCGCACCCCCCCCAGTGTCCCGAGGAGCCGTGGGCGGTGCTCCAGGTGGCACGAGTGGCCCCAGCAGACAACGGGCCCCTCTGAAACGGCCCCCAGGAGCCTTCCCACCTGCCTCTGCCCTAGCCGGCCTCTGCGCTGGCCCTGGGCCGCCTCAGGAGCCCGCCCCTTCCCCAGCAGCAGGAGGGCCGGTGCTAGCAGCGCCCCCCAAGCTCCAGGACCCCCGAAGCCCCAGGTCGGTCCGAGGTGGGAGGAGGAGGACAGGCTGCGCACCCCGGCCCTGTCCTTGGTGCTGGCACCTGCTGCGCCCCTCGTGGCCCTCAGCCTCGGTTCTTGCGGAAGGGCAGTGACTACACCCCCCACCCGCGGGCCGTGGCTCCGGCCCCAGGGCCCTGGGCGAGGAAGGTCCTGCGCAGCCAGTCAGAGGCTGGGCCTGCCAGCACTTCCCCGGGCTCCCTGCTGCCCCTGGTGACCTGAGGTGACCCAAGGCTCCAGGGTGGACGCAGGTCTCTCTAAGCCCCAGATGCCCACCCGGAAGGTGGGTCCGAGCCATCTCTAAGTCCTCTTTTGTGGGGGAGGGGCTGGCTGCTGGGGCTCATACCCGGAAACCCAGCCGCTCAAGCGCCAAGGGCCCACGTGAGGCCGGCCGGCCGGCCCTCCACTCCCACAGGGCTGCGTCACCAGGCCCGGGCTGCCTCGGCCTGAGTGTCCCCTCCACCTCACCTCGGCAGCCAAAGCCCCCAGGGCTCCCCACCTCGCCCACGCTGGGGGGCGGCCCTGCCCCTCCCAGAAGCTCCCAGCCAGGAATGAGGGGTGAGGCCTGAGGTCTGGTGCCCACGGCAGGGAGGCCTCCAGTCTCCAGGGAGGAACGGGATGGGGGCGGGGGCGGCAGCCTTGGTCCCCAGCAGGGGAGCCAGCTGTGCCCACGCGCCTGGAGGCAGGGACGGAGGGGGAGGGCCTCCACCCCCCCCTGCCCCCACAAGGTCCCAGGAATCCCCCCTTGCTCCCCAGGGCTCTGGGGGGGTCCCACCGACCCAAACCCCACGTTCTCCAGGCGTCACTGTGACTTTTCTCTTCCCCCTTTCACGAACTGGGGGGGTGGGGGGGTCTGGTTTAACGGGTGTAATCTCCTCCCCGTTAGCCACGCAGCCTAATGAAGACATCGGCCCAGATCCGCCATGCGCACTTTAACCAGCAGCTTCTGTCGCAATGTTTATACTTTTAAAAATTATTTTTCTGCAGCGCAGTAAAACCAAAGCTGGCTTCCGGCTCGGAGAGCTCATTAAGGGCGACCCCGCTCCATTAGCCGGTGCGGCTCAGCGGCTAAGTGCCCCCGGCTCCGGGTGGGCGCCCAGGGCATCCCGGAGCCGAGCGGGCTGCGACTCGGCAGGAGGTTGGCGACCGGGCGCGCTGAAGAAGCGACTTCACCTGGGGGCGGAGGCTCGCCAGCGGGACGGAGACCCACGTTCCTGCCACTTGCCTCCACCGTGGGGCGTCTCGCGCTGCGCAGCAGGACGAGCGGCGCTGTGGGAGCCCTTTTTTAAAGTGACTGGTAAAAAAATAAACCTTGTCCCTCCCCAAAGCTGGAAAGCTCTGGCACCTTGGAGAATGTCACCACGCCACTGGACCCCTAGCCCACTGGGACCGGCGGAGTACTAGCTTCCCAGGAACACCCCCACCCCACGCGAGACCAGATAGATCCCAGGCCGCTAGGGACAGGACAGGGTCCCAATGTCCCTATGTCCCTCCGCACCCGACCGGGGCCGAGCTCGCGTCCCTTCGCGGAAGGAGAGGGTAGTGCGATAGGTGCACTGCGAGCCTCCGCGCCGGGAAAGGCGGCGACCCCCGGCCTTGCAGGAGCCGGTGGGGCTGCGGGATACAGCTCCCCGCCAGGGGGCACGCCCCAGGTACCCCCGGAGATCCCGCCGCGGACCTCCTGGGGCCGCCGGGGCAGAAAGTTTGGACCAGGGCTGTGCCTGGGCCCCTGGCGCCGGCGTCCCCAGCCGCACTAGCCCCTGGGAACGCCAGCGCCCCGGAGAAGCGGGCTGGGCTCTGGATGGAGCCTCCCCAACGCCGCTCCGGAGACGCTGTTCCCGAGGGCTCTGCGCTGCCCGCCCCTGAGCCCCAGCCTGGGCACCGCGGGAGGCCCGCCCCGGTCCTCTCTGGGGAGCCCAAGGCGCGCCTCCCGCGCCGCAACTCCTCCGGGTCGTCAACTCCTCCGCGAACCCTCCGCCGAACCCTCCGCCGGGTGGACCCGGGCAGCGCTCCCCTCCCAGGCCCGGGTACCGGAAAGGAGGCGCACTGCGTCCCCCAGGGTCCCTGCTGCCACCCACTCTGTCCCGGCCGGTCCCCTGGACGCGCCCCGCGGGGCCGGGATCCCCTCTGCCTCAGCCCCCCCCCCCCCGCCGGGGAGTTCCCTGCGCCGCCAGGCGTTGTGCCTCCTTCGCTGCCGCGGCTGCGCTGCCGCCTCCGCCGCCGCCACGGCTGCAGCCACGCAGCGCAAGGGACTCCTGGCGTCTCCATGGAGCCCGAAACCGCCTTCGCATTCACAAAATCACCCCACCGGCCTCCTGCTGGGCCACGTGCCGGATCCCGGCCGTGAGGGACCGGCGACCCTGGCAGGGACCCCTGCACCTGAGAGTGCCCCCCCCCCGCTTCCCCACACAGCCTCGGAGGGCTCTGGCCGCCCTCCGCAGCCCCCGCCTCCCCCGCGGGGTCCTGTGGGCCCCTCCCAGGGCCGTGCCGCCCCCCAGCCCCGAGCCGGCTGTCGCACGGTGGTAACCACCGCTGCAAGGCTGGGCAAGGCTGGGCAAGGCTGGGCGAGCGGGCGACGAGGACCGGGCTACTCACGGGCTCAGCGCTCCCCGAGGCAGGTGACGGGGGCCTGGCGGCCATGCCCCAGCTGCATCCTGGCCGGGCGGACAGCGGCGTTCCGGGGCCACGCAGGCACAGGCCGGCCCGCAGCGAGGGGCGCGCGGGGCTGGGCTCCAGCAGCTCCGGCGGCAGCGGAGGCGGCCGCGTCCCTTCCGGGAGCGCGCGAGCGGCCGGGGCTGGGGCCGAGCCGGGCCGCTGTCCTAGGAGGCTCTGCCGGCTCCGGAGCTCCGTGCTCTGCACTCGCTCTTCCCTCTCTGCCTCTCTCTCCCCCTCTCTCTCTCTCTCTGTCTCTCCCTCTCTCTCCTCCCCTTTTCTCTCTCCCTCTCCCCGGTTCCTCTGGCTCGCTTGGCTGGAGCGAGGAGACAGCAGGAGCACGCGCGCAGGCAGGCGGCTGGGGCGGTGCGCGCAGAGCGCTGCGCGGGAGGGGGCTCCTGCAGCGCGGGGCGGGGCGGGCGCCTGGGTGGGGAGGGCGGCCGGCTGCGCCCTGCGCACGGCGCCCGGGCGGCCGCAGAGCCCCAGCACCCGGGCGGTGGGCAGGGCGCGGGGTCGTGAGCGCCGCCCTCCCGTCCGGAGCCCCGCCTCAGCTCCCTTCCTCCAAGCAGCCCGTCTCAGGACCCCCGTCCTGCCACCTCCCTGTGCCTGGCCCAGGAAGGACACCACCGGGGATTCCCATAAATAGAACTCCGGGTGTGGGGGGCGGGGAGCCCCCCCACTCCTCTGCTGCCCAGCCTGCCTGCCTTCTCTTCCACTTTGCCCACACTCACCCATCCCCTGCTAGGTGGGGCCTGGCGTTGGGGGCCGGCCTTCCTGAGGACAGGGCCACCCTCGCGGCTGGGGCCTCTGTCCAAGGTGCCGACCCCACCGATGTAAGCGTTCATACCCTGGCGGGAGAGGGACTTTCGGGTTCGCCTGACATCAGAAGAGGAAGCCAACAGGCCCCCTCCCCACAGCCAAGCGTCCCCCCCCCGCTTCGGGGAGAGGCTCCGGTGCAGGGTGTGGTGGGGGGGCCTGGAACCAAGCTGAGGCCGAGGGCCCTTGGGGGCCCGGGGAGTCCACAGTGGCTGGCATTCAGCACCGAAGGCGGGCCCCAGGGCCTGCACGGTCCCAAACAGAATAGCAGGTTGGGCGGGGCCTCGATCCTGTTTCTAAGCAAAAGTCAGACAGACATACGGACGCAGTGCCCAGAGCCTACCACCAGCAGGCGGTGGGGTGTGTGGGGGGGGACCGCCCCCTGTGAGACACCCTCCGTCCAAAAACAAATGGAGAGCCGGCCCCAGGCGGAGTTTACGTCTGACGTTGCTTCTGCAACGATGACATCCCCGACTGTCCTGCTTTTCCAGCTGGGCAAGACGCTGGACGCGGCGCCCGGGGTTGGCCGGGGCCTGGGAGGCTCACAGGCAGCACAGGGAGGGACGCACTCCCGGCTCTGCAGAGCCCCAAGGAGCACGCGAGGCCGGACGGCGTGCGGGACAGGGGGCCACTGGCTGCTTGGGGGTCCGTGCTCTTCGCCCCCCCCCCCGGCCCTCCGGCCCGTCTGGGCCGTTGACCTGTCTTGGCCAGTGGGGACCCTGCTACGTGGTTTCCAGTGAGCGGCCCGGCCCTGCGGCTACACGCCAGATAAACGCCTTGTCTCCGCGCGGTTGGCTGGACTTCCTGCGGCCCCAAGTCTGAAACGGCACTGGTTCTCCCCGTCCTCTGCAGTCGGATCCTCGATGGAGGCGGAGCCCCCCACTCCCCGTGGCCCCCCGTCTCCCCCCGGAAGGCCTCTTGCTTCCCAGGTAAAGGCAGGGGCGCTTACGAGCCACTGTCCTGGGTCATCCAGCAAAGCTCCCTGAAGACAGCAGCAAACTGTGCTCCCAGTCCCCACCGGGACCAGCCAGTGCTCGGCACACAGTAGGTCCACTCCAACTCCTTGTGGGGGCGGGGGCGGGGCGTGAACTCGGCATCGGTGGCCTCAGGAACAGCAGGTCCAACCCCCTCAGGGGACAGGCCCCGGGGAAGGTGCCCTTCTAGCCCGAGAGGGGGGTCGGGGCCAGCCTGTGTGTCTGCATCCCAGGGCCAACCGGGAAGTTTACAAAACTATCCTCCACGAAGAGAATTCTACAGACCTCGGGCTTGAAATTATTTTTTTTTCAAGCGAGAACATGGAGGAGGATCTGGGAACATTCCTCTGCAACAGTAATTAGGGAAGGAACAAAAGGAGACCCAGTTCCTAGGATGACGGCTGAACACACACGGCTAATTTTGCTCCCCCTGCAAAGCCCACTGGAACCACCGGAGAAGATTGTCTTAAAGCTCTAAACCCCCAGGGCCTGGAGACCAGGGAAAGGAAGCCACACAGGACGGGTCCAGGAAAGCAAAGGGACAAGGGGTACCTGGCCTCGTGGAGCTGAGTCCTGACCCCACCGGGGTGGGGGCAGAGAGACAGAACCCCCAAAGGCTCGGGAGTGGGGGGGGGCAGATGCCCACGGAGGCAGGCGGGCAGCTCACAGCAGCGGAGCCCGGGATCCCAGATGGCGGCCCACCCCGGATCGCTGCCTGGCATCCCCCGCCCCCAGAGGGGTGTTCCCGGGAGAGGTGACTCCTGAGAGCTCTGGGCCTGGGGCACCTCACGCACGGTGACAGAGGGGCGTCATGCACTCTGAAGGCTTAGAAACCTATTAAAGATGTAACTTTTCTATTTCCCAGCAGACAGCAAAGACGATCTGTTCCCTGGGGCTTGGGGACAAGCCCACCCAGGCCCCGGAGCCTCCGGCCAGCTCTGCAGGGCGGCTGCCGGACACTGTGGGTCAACAGACCCAATTACCAGAGGCCGGAGGGGAGCCGAGAGGAGACGGGGCGGCCGCACCACCCGGGCGGGGCACGGGAGGGCAAGGGCGTCCGAAATAGCCATTCTCAGCGTCCTCGGAAACGGCGGAGCAGACGCGGCCTCCACGAGCCGCGCGCGAGGTGCTATTTCGGGGGGAACGTTTACAGCACACAAAGAGGCCGGGAGATTAAACGCGTGAGAACAGAAAGAAAACCCCCGCCAGAAAGGCCGGAAGGTGGACGCCCGGGAACGTCCCAGAATTCAAAGCAGAAAGGCACCCGGAGGAGAGGAGGGGAGGAAGGACGGACGAGGAGACGGCAGGTTCTGTGGGTTGAATGCAAGGGATGGTTTTAATTCGAGAAATGTTCCCAGGAGGCGTGGCCGGGCTCCCCGCACAATGGGTGGACACTGACCCCACGTGAAGGCCTATGACTACAACAAACAAAATCCAGAGGACGCGCTTCCAGGCCCATGGGGAAAAAAAAAAAGCAGGCGTGAGAATGGGCTTCAGAACCCCCAGCAGCGATGGGGATGGGAACAGCCAGCAGAGCCCCCCGAGGTGCTGGCCCAGAGCCCCCCGCGGAGCCCAGTGCACAGCGAGAGTAAGATGCGGACACTGCGAGTGCGAGAGCGCGGGGAAACTTCCTCCCCGGGCACCGCTGCCCCGCAGCTGCCGGAGCGCACGCCGGCTGCCGTGGAAGAGGGAGAGCGGTGGGGGGTCCACGGGTGGGTGCAGGGAGGTCACAGAGGGCCCACTGGAGCAGGGCGCTGACCGGCCGAGGGCGGTGGCTGCCGCTGGGCCTTCCGGCCCCCAGACGAGCCCGGTCCAGCTTCTCATCGCACTTGGCCTGCTCGGGCCGGGCCGGGGCCGGGTGGACGGCCTGCTTTCTTCTCCACACCTGCCCCTTGGACAAGGCGAAGAGACTCACGTCACCCCTCAAAAGTGTCCTACTTTGTCCTCCTGGAGGGAGGGGGGTGGCCATGGGGAGCCGCGAAACAGAAAACACTGAATGGCCAGTCCCCCCGCGCCCCACCAGCCCGCTGGACGCCCCAGCTGGGGTACGACCTCAGGTCTGCGGGGAGCCCTCACGGCCCTGCCACAGGCCCGCAGGGGCCGGCGCCTCGGTCTCTCACAGCCAGCGGGCTCACGGACCCCTGGACTCCGCCGGGGCAGCGCAGGCCGGACTGCGCCCCCAGGGCCGTGCACCGGGCCAGCTCCCAGGCCCCTCCCTCCATCTGGGAGAGCGCGCCGTGGCTGGCTCCGCCCACGAGTCACCTGCGCATGCGCAGACGGTGGCACAACAATAAACTGTGGAATCCAGGCGCCGAGGGACTCCTCTCTCCTGGTCTGTCCGTCACAGCCGTGCCAGGCCCGCAGGCGGCCGGCGGGCGGCTGCCGGAGAGCGTGTTTGCCGCTCATCACCGGGCTTCCTCGTGCGGCCACGAAAACACGTCTTACTTCCACTGCCCCGCCCCGGGGCTGGCTGCCCACCGCCGGGTGTCTGGGGGTTCCCCTGCGGCCGCTGCAGGACACCGTGCGGCCGGAGTGCCTCCCTCTCCCCACGGCCTCCCCGTGGGGGCCGCGGGGCCCGGCTACCCGAACAACCGTCCGCGCCCTCGCACACCAAGCACGGGGCAGGTGTGCCCACACTTCCATTCTGCGGGGCTCCGGGGCGGGGTCTCTGCAGACCCCAGGCAGTGCAGGCCACGGTGGAGCCCTGGAGGTCAGGGGAGGCCCCGCTGGCCCAGGCCTCACCTCTGGTCTGGTGGGGGGCACCCCCACACTGAGCACCGTCCAGCCTGAAAACCACGTCTGGTCTCACTGTCCCCAGACACGGCACCCTCCCCACACCCCCTGACATCATCCGCCCTTTATCCCCCACCGTCCCCACGGACACGGGGTCACCAGGGGCAGGAGTCGCCAGACAAACTAGCCTGTGGTCCCTCCTCGCGCACTTTATCATGGAGCCAGGTGGTCCTGCTGTCCACTCCCTTTCTAGAACATCCTTCCTTCTCCTCCACCACAGCAAGGCCCCCAAGGCCACTCTCTGCGCCTCTGTTTCCCGGAGGCTCTGCCCTCGGTCCTCTCGCGTTGCTCTCGAGGGTCTCGCCGTCACGGACACCACGGTGTGGCATTTCCGCAGAGCTGGAAAGGAGAAAAGGTCCTTTAGGACAACCCCGGTTTACAGATGAGAAAACCGAGGCCCCAGCATCCTGGTCTCCGGCCAAGGCAGGCCGCTCCAGACCCAGAACCCGCCCGGGGACTGCGGGCAGAGGCCTCTCCCCCCGCGCACCGCCCCCCCCCCAGGCAGGGGAGCAGGTGGGCGCCTCTGCTGTGTCTCGCACACGCTCCCAGACTTGCTGTTTTATTTAAGAGCAGGCAGCCCGGCATCGGCACCTGGGCGCTTGCAGCTCTGGCGTTCGTCTCCTCGGGAGGGGGGTGGGGTGAATCGCTCCCCAAGGGCCCCATCTCTCCTCCCGGGTGGGCGGGACATGTCAGAGGGAGACCCGGGCTGCTCGGGGTCCCACACCCCGAGCACGCGCACCGCGCCGTCGTTGGGCTGCCTGCACCAC